CCCCCGCACACCCTCCTCAATGTGGCTGATCCACTCCTGGCGCTCCGTGGTGGACGCAGCCGACACCACGAAGGACTTCTTGGCTGTCTTGATCATCCAGCGGTTCTTGGCCTGCAGGGTCTCGGGCAGCAGCTCCAGCGTGACCTCCTCCAGCGGGATGATGTGCTGGCTGCGGTACTTGCGCTTGTTGAGCACGATGCTGCCGTACACCAGGATGTCGTTGAAGAGGAAGAAGATGCGCGGCTTGGCCTTCTTCCGGCACTCCTTGGTCAGCACACCCTCGCCCAGCAGCACCCGACCTGGCAGGGCCAGCGGCTGCCCTGATGCCCCGAAGCAGCTCTCCACTGCCGCGATCCGCTGGCTATTGATCTCTGTGTTCGCCAAGTGGTCCACCATCTTCTCCAGCAGCAGGTCTGCAGGAGAGGCAGAGGATGAGGCAGCAGCCTGTAGGCATGGCCAGGAATCACAACCATACCGCCCACCCCAACTCACTAACCAGCTGCATCAGACCATCTGCTCATTACTCCTCTGTGCCCCAGCAAGCCCATCTAGCCACCCAGACACAGAAACTCACTGTTCCAGAAGCTGGCCCTTAGACAAGGAGTACAAGGAACTTTGGGGAGGTGAAGCGCATTGCCCAGCAAGAGGAATGTGGGAGCCAGACAGGGATGGGAAGGCAGTGACCAGAGTGTGGTTACTCAGCAAGCAACTCTGTGGGCAGCAGAGGCTCGAATCTCTGGGGAGCCTTGGCAGACAGGGCAGAATGTGCCTCAATGGTGTCCACCCAAGGGCCAAGGAAGTTGGGATATGGAGCCTCCAACTCCCATCAGCTGCTCCTAGGGAACTACTGGCACTTCGGGCCTGCCCCTCAGCTAAAAGGATGCAGGCATGTGTGCCGGAGCAGTGCCTGAGGGCGACTGGGTACCTGCAACTCCAGCCCCTTGCTGACTCCCCCACTCTGATCCTGCAACCCACTCACTCACCCAGTGAGCCCAGTGACCACCACCAATATCCCTGGGACCATGGGCTGAGTGCGCCCTCCATGCTAAGCATAACTTTATCTCATTTATTCTTTTTTTTTTTGGGGGGGGAGAGGTTTTTTGCTATAGGGCACGTGCGCTCACCAAAAAGCCAGAGAGAGACAGAGAGACAGAAAGCGATAATCACCCTCCAGGGGGGATGGCCATGCCACAATCTCTTCTCCTCCACTCTCCTCTCGGGATCTTGGGCACGCACACACATGCGCCTGGCTTGAGTTTAAGCCACCAGGTCCGGGACTCAAACCGCGGTCGACTACATGGGAGTCCAGTGACATAGCCATTACGCTAACTGCTGGTCCCTATCTCATTTATTCTTCACATCAACCTAGAAGGTGGAACCCTCACTTCACAAGAGGGAAACTGAGACTCCATTATTCGGTCATCAGAAAAGTCGTGACCTATTTTTCTATGCAAAAATGCATCATGACTTTTCCGATGACCCTACAGTAAGAAGGGGCCCCAGAATTTGTCCTACACTGTCTTCCCTAGAGACGTGAGGCCCACTCAACCCTGCTGTTGGTGCATAAGCACTAAATAATGGTGGCTTCAGAGTGCATCCCAGGCTGCCCTCTGCCCTGACCACACACACTTCCCCTTGAGCCCACCAGACCCACAGCCTTGAAGACCACCTGAATGCCACTGACTCTCCAGTCCAAGCCTCCAACCCTGATCTCTCCATGGAACTTCAAGTGTGGACATCCACCTGCTTCCCTGTTCATCAAATAAATCTCTCTCGCTCTCTTTTTGTTTTAAGAGAGATTTTTGCTCTAAGTTGCGTGTGCTCACCGAGAGTCAGAGACAGACAGAGAGACAGAAAGAAAGAAATCACCCCCTGGGAGAATGGCCAGGATGCAATTCCTTTTCCTCCAGTCTCCTCTCAGGATTTTGGGCATGCCCGCATACACGCCTGGCTCGAGTTTTAAGCTGAATCCAGGATTTGAACTGTGATCAATTACGTGGGAGTCCAGCAATGTAACTATTACACCATCTGCTGGTCCCAAGTACATTTCTTAATCTCAACATGCCCAGCATTGAACCCAGTCCCCCCAGACTTGCTCTTCTCAGCTTCTCCCCTTCCCCACCAGTGGAACCTCCATTGGCCTGATCATTCACACCCCAAATCTAGGACACATTCTTGAACCTCTTCTCTGTTATACCTCCAACCCTCAACCTATGAGCAAGCCTTACTCTTTTTCTCTCTCAAATCTAGCCTGAGCCTGCCTATTTCTCAGCACACAACTCCACTGCTGAAGCAACAGCAAGGAGCCACCATTCCGCCTGAAACAAACCATCCCATGGACAGCTCCTCTATGCGACTAGTCTCAGCTCCCTCTCCTTCTGAAAGGGTCTCCCTGATAACTCCAGCTCAGGGAGTTTGCCCCTACCCGGAATAGAGGTTGACGAACAAGTGCCAGGTGCAAATTTGGCCCACAGTCAGTTGTTGTAAATAAAGTTTTATTGGCACACAGCCACCCATTCGCATTCCATTGTCCGTGGTGGCTTCCATGCTGCAACGGCACAGTGGAATAGAGGTAACAGATACCAGAAGGCTAGGAAACCCAACACTGACGATCCAGCCCTTAACAGAAACACTCCGCAGCCTCCTTCTCTAGAATTCCTCTCTTTTGTTTGTCCCTATGCTATGAGGACCTGCTGTTTTCCTTCCTATTCACTGATTGCTTGTGTGTTTCCTAACAGGAGCGTCCTCTTGCTTACGGCTGTGGCACCAATTGGAACTGTGCCAACCACCCATTACTAGTGGCTAATGAAAGAACGAACTTTCTAAAATGCCTGAGGGCCCCCTGTGCACCAGTGAGCTCTCTCTTCTGCAGTGGAAGGTGAGAGCTGTCCCCACCACAGCGTGCACACGTCTTCAGGCACACAGAGCAGGCCTGCGGTTGAGCCAATCACACACAATGCTTCTGGGTCACTGAGCTGCAGTGAGGCCACCTGTGAAAAGCCACCATGGGGCCCCAGCGTGGGGACTGGGTGCACTGCACAAGAGGAGATGCTAGGCCCCCTGAGTCACGTACCGCTTGCCCCTTCGGATCACACAGCCCCCTGTGAAGTGTTGCCCACACTATCTTATGTAAGAGCTGCTATTTTCATTTGCTGATCTCTGCGGTGTATTGCAAACCTAGCAGATTATTAGTGACAGCTCTGAGCCCTCCTGCCACAACTGATCATTGGGTCCCTGGCTGATGGACAATCTGGCAAAACCAGAACTGGGTCTCCTCAATTTCAGAGCGCCACTTCCAAGTCCTGTCAGGCTGTGGGCTGGGGGCCCTGGGATGGCTGGGCAAGATCTCCACGACAGAGGAGCTCAGAGTGGCAGAGGAGGGAGACCCACAAAGAGCAGTGATAGAGTGAAGCAGAGACTCCTTACATGCCTATCAGTAGGAAAAAGGAAAAAAGCAAACAACAAAAAAACAGGCTATACTCATAAAATAGAATATACAGATCAGCACGGAGTGATAATGAACAATTACCAGGTGGAAAAAAAAGCAACCTGCATGGGACCAGCAGTTGGCGTAATGGCTATGTTGCTGTACTCCCATGTAGTTAACTGCAGTTCGAGTCTCAGACCCGGTGGCTTAAAATTCACGCCGGGCGCATGTGTGTGCGGGTCCAAGATCCCGAGAGGAGAATGGATTCCAGTGTGGCCATCCCCCCCGGGGTTGATTTCTCACTTTCTCTCTCTTTCTCTGCCTGGTTGTCTGGCAAGCGCACGCACCCTATAGCAAAAACCTCTCAAAAAAAAAAAAAAAAAAAAGGCGAACTGCAGAATGGCCTATACAATGTGACATGTAAATGAAAAATTATATAACATTTAAAAACGGTTTGAGAACTGTATTTATAAATAATAATTGGAGGAAACTTAATACTCATTAGGACAGCTACTATCAAAAAAAATAATAATCATGAGGCCAGCAGATGGCATAATGGTTACGTCTCTAGGCTCCCACATGGCTGACCATGGTTCAAGTCTGGGACCCAGTGGCTTTAAAATCACACCAGGTGTGTGCGTGAGTGCCCAAGATCCTGGGATGAGAATGAAGAAGAAGGGACTGCAGCATGGCCATCTTCCTGGGGGGTGATTTTTCACTTTCCCTCTCACTGTTTCTGTCTCTTTCTCTCTTGGTGAGCGCACACACACTAAGGGGAAAACCTCTACAAAATAATAATAATAATAATTACAACCATTGGTAAGAATTGGAGAAACTGCACCCCTCTGTATGTCGGTGGATATGTAAATCAGAGCCACTATGGAAAATAATAAGAAGACTCCTCAAAAAATTAAAAATAGAATTAGCACAGATCCAGCAATTCCGTTTCTGGATATATATTCAGAAAGATTAAAAGTAGATACCCAAAGACATATCTGTGTTCCATATTCATGGTGGCATTATTTGCAAAGGCCAAACGGTGGAAGCAACCTCGAAGTCCATCAGCTAGATGACTGGATAAACAAGATGTGGCACATAGGTAGTACGGGATCTTCTTCTGCCATCCAAAGAAAGAAAATTCTGACACAAGCTACAAAACGAATGAATCTTTTGGACATCGTGTTAAGGGAAAGGAGCCATACAGCAATGACGACTTAGGAGATACTTATAGTGGCCAAATTCATAGACACAGAAAGTAAAATAGTGGTTGCCAGGCACTGGATGGCAGGGGGTAGAGAGTTGTTGTACACTTAAAAATGATTAAGATGGTCAAAAGAAGACAAAATAAGCAAACGAACAAAAACAAGGTAGAATAGACTTACAGTCAGGAGAAAATGGCCTAAGGGAGGGGGCGTGGGCAGGACCAGGAATCGGGGGCTCAAGTAGGACTTCACCTTTATCTATATATAATGTTCTATTTCTTTTACTAGAAAGAGGCAGCAGCAAATGTGATGAAATCCTAACTCACGAGTGTCGATTTCGGGAAGTGGGAAGGTGTGCTTCTTTTTCTTTCTAATTTAAGATCTTCAAAAAAGAGAAGCATTATAGGACAGTGTCCGGGTTGAAGTTTGGCCTCTGTGGGCTAGGGGACACTGAGCAGGTCTCATGGTGGGATGCCTGGCTGGGCCTGGCAGGAAAATGGCACAGCATCAGGGTTAGGGTACCTGCAGGCAATGCCAGGAAGGAGATCCTACATTCCCTTCTCTAAAGCATACAGCTGTGTCCCAAGGAGTCAGGCTGAAAACCCAACTCTGTGGCCAGGCAGAAACTGAACCCATCTGCAGCTGAGGCAGATGGGCTTTGTGCCTCGGAGCAGGTAGCCCCTGTCCAGCCCAGTGGGGCTCATGAGCTCCAGAGGCTGCTCCCCATAGACCACCCAGGTGGACAGCATGGAGGAAGTGAGGACATTTGGGAAGGGGAGAACTTGGGATGCTGAATCCACAGCAGACCAAGCCAGGAGAGAGGAGGAGAGAGCCTGCAACACCATCTCCCAAGCCCTAGGAAAGGGGCACAGAGCACCCCTCCACACTGCCCGTGTGGCACATAGTAGGTCTTCAGCAAATATGTGGAAAGTCAAGTCAGACAGACCTGGGAAAAGGGTGAGTCTGGTTGGAGTTGAGGTTTCTTCAGGGAAGGAGGGTCCCCGACCAGGAAACCAAGGGCAAGCCCCAATGGTTGAGCTGTGCCCCCTCTTGCCTTCTTCCCCGACCTTAGCCAGTGCGTTCCTCTCTGAAAAGCAGTGTCCCTGCATGTAACCTGAGGGGAAGGAAGGACAGGCTGCCTCTTTCCAGGGTTCCTGGGCGGGGCCCCCAGACATCTCTCACTAATCTCAAAACCTTCCTCCCTGAGCCGGGGAAAGGAAGGTCGAGGTCCAGCAGGACAGAGCCATGTGTAACTTGTTAACTGAGGCTCTGCCCCAACCTTCATGGCTCTGATGGCTGCTGTCTAGCTACTGGTGACAAAAGGCAGACCACGGAGGGTGGGGTGGTGGTGGTCTCACAGCACTGAAAGAGCTCTGGATCCCAGGCTGGCCCCACATAGACTGGGGCAGCCCGACGGCTGGCACGTCCCTCTTCTCTGTGAACTCACAGAACTCCCAGGTTGGTCTGGGGTCAGGCAGACAATATCTTCCCAGGGCTGCCCCACCACCCATGCAACCATAACTTTACAGCCTCGTTTCATGTGGCCCGAAGGCTTTTCTTGGTAAACATACCAGCCCAGTCAGATGGGGAATGCTTGTTTTTATCACTCTCACAAGAGAAGCCAACCTTTCTCCTTTGGGATAGGGGAGCCGAGCTGAGCCCTGGCCCCACTCACTGGGGACCAGACTGCCTCATAGAAGACAAGGGGGAGGCTCCTGGCAGCCTGCTGGGCTCTGGATTGTGTCTATGCTGACCCCAGTGTGGCGCCCAGGGCTGCTGATGGGGGCAGACTGCCGCAGGGTCGGGGAGTCTGGGTGACAGGGACATGCACAGACGTGCGTTTTTCTTGGAGGGGTCAGAAGCACGTGGGTCTCCGGGGCTCAGTGACTCTACCACCTGCACCGGGCTGAAGGTGCTCATGGTGAGCCCTGTGGCTTGAGGGCCACATCCTGAGAGTCACACTGGGTGACTACAGATGCCGAGAGGCCAGGGTTTTGTGCGTGACAATTAAGGTGTGATATCTGATCTCTAGTGGGGCTGGAAATCACCAAATCTGACCTCCTGCTAGCTTTTCTAAATACACTTTTATCGGAACACGTGACTATGTGCAACAGGGACTGCATGGCTTATAAAAGCTAAAATATTTACTATCTGACCCCTTAGAGAAAAGGGCAGCTGATCCCTGATCCACACCAGCACACATAAAACGTACAACACCTTTACTCCAGAGACAAGCTGGCAATTCACACAGGGCTCAGTCCTGCTGGGACGTGCCCTTTCCTCACCCCAACTTGGAACACAGCCTCCGGGATTAGTGCGAGAAGTCTGGGTGTACCAGCCCAGGAACCCCGGAAAGTCAGGGCTGGGAGGGGCAGCCAGCTCCATCCTAACCCTTGGGTTTCATGCACGGACATGGGTCATGAGAGGGGAACATCAAAGAGGACGTATCTGGCCCAGGTCACAGGGGAAGGGGAGTGAAGACAGGACAGCACAGCCCTGTGGACTTTTCCTGGGCTTCCTCATTGAGGCTGC